TAGCGTTTCAATATGTTTACGTCCAAAAGAAGCTTCCAGCAGATTCTTTTTAATTCTATCTTCATCGTAGACGTCTTAAGTGTTGGAAAACATTTTTATAAGTTGTTTAAAATGTCATAGCGTGACCTCGGCTGGGCCTTTCATTAAATGATATGTAAGACAGAAGAAATTGACTTTTGTTGCCTATAAATGGTGCAAAAGTTTTTTTATCTTGTTATTTTTTCCATGCTGTTCCATAAGTTTTTGTAATTTCATTTTAGCATTTTTCCACATGAATCAAGACAAGTTTAAAAATATTAATTTTTCAGTTTCCTCCTTTTAATCTAGTAATAATTCGCTCATTAAATTATGCAAGTATTGTGGAAGCAGGTCATGTAAGGGTTCTTTAAATGGAAAGCAAATGAATTCTTTTCTGAACCTGTATGAGTTCTTAAAGTTTAACAGAATGTACATATTCTTTTACCTTTTATGCTTGTTATAAGCAGCTTTTAACTGAGAGTACCCATCTTTAGGAAGGCAGATTTTTCCTGCAGTGATTGATTGAGAACAATGATCTTGGCAGACCTACCGGTAGTTGAATTTCTGCTGAAGATTACAGATTTGTATTTTAAGTTTTAGAAACTCTAACACAGTGTTTCGACAAAAGTTTCATCAATGATGGATCCACCGACTGAGTTCTAGTAAAGCTGCAGTTTAAACTGCAACAAACTAATTTGATTTTCGCACGATCCGCTCACTCTGTGTAATATAATTTATAAAATATTACAGGTAAACTGATTATTGTTTAAGTCCAATTGACAGCATTACTTTGTCATTTAGAATAAGGAAACAAAACTTATTATATTAGCGCGTTTTGGAGAAGGGTGGTATTAAATAAGTCCTGTTGAATTTATTTTCTTGTCTTATTACATAATGTTTGTTTTGTATTTTATCCACGTTTGAAATGAACTTGAACAACTAAAGAAGGAACTTAGCGGAGAGCTCCAGAACTCGTTTAAAGCGTGAGAACTTTCACTTTTACACTCAATATTTATAAAGTTATCGCGTTCCCAGTGGTAGGGTTACACTGCATAAATATACTTTGTTTAATTTTCTCTCTCACACACACACACTCACACACATGTGCACACACAGAACTACCAGCATATGGCCTCTTCAATGTCACAGCCACGAGGAGAGATTGCACAGATTTCCCTCATGGATGATGTCTCCTTACCTGGAGTATCACCCCCCCCCCGCCCATCTCCATACACATCCACCACCTCCAGGAAATTGCTCTCTCTGCAAAGTCAAACACACCCCTAACTGCCTTTTAAAAAGAGACAGAAGAAGGAGAGGTTACCAGGGAGAAAACGAAGAAAGAATAAACGAGCAAAGACTTAAGCCGTCATTGGGAATCAGAGGGGGGCTCATGAGGGACAGTCGCAATATTGATTTCATAAATAAACAGAGATGGCCATCGATCCTAATGTTATTTTGCATTTCAATTACTGCCCAGAAACATAACCTTCAAACGTCTGCTCCTCCACAGTAATAACATCCACTGATAATCACAACCCAGGCTTGTTCGCCACAAATTGGCTTTTTCTCCCGCCCCGCCTTCCCCTCCACTTTTCTTTTTCTTTTACTTTTTTTCCCTTATTCCTCAAACGTGTAAATGACACAACTTTGCATTTGCCTAATGGTATTAGTGCCCGGGCAGAATTTCAAGCGAGACTCGGGCAGATACAGTACGCGCTCCGGTCAATCGACACGATGCAAATGAACGTGGCGAAGAGGAATTAAGTTCACAACGCGAGACCTCGCGGAGCTGCGACGAGGCCCATTAAATTAAACATGGGGCCTGACCCGCACTCCATGATTACCGCCTCTGCCCCGTGCACGTATGTGTGTGTGTGTGTGTGTGTGTGTTAATTTAATCGGATCAATAAAACAAACTCATGAGAAGTTTGCTGCTGCCGGTGCCGAACACAAGAAAAGAAGGCATTTGTCTGCATCCTTGTGAACTCAGTCAGGCTGCCTAAAAGGAGGGATTTGTATGGGGGTGGAGTGGGGGGTGGGGGGTCGTGACTTGTTATGAAGTTGTTTCACATCTCATCTTTTCACAGTGGACCAGCAGAATCGCTGCTTCTTCCCACGAAGCAGCTTTTAATAAATAGGAGAAAAATAATTTTGATCATTTTTCTTCTTAATTTCATAAAAAAATTAAAACTGACTGTAAAGCAGGGGTGACATTTCTTCATTTTTGGTTAGATTTTATGGGTCGAATCATCCAAATAACAATCAAAACTGGGATGAATCACATGAAACTTTTTTATATCATATTTTGTCATAAATGGTTATTTTATGTTTTGTGCAAAACCATGAATCAAAACTTTAAAGCAGCTCAGATGATGGATTTTTTTTATGTTAAGTGGAAATAAACCTTTTTTATATTTGCTTTTTGAGAACACACCAACCATGACAACATATTTACCTCCTGTAGACACTGAATACCCCCCCCCCCCCCACTTTTTTAACATGACATCCATCATATTTCATGTCAGTTCTTCCATCTGGTGTAAAACTTCGTGTTTTAGCATTTGAAGAGAATGAAGCAACAAGCGATGCAAAAAATTGTTTATTTAATTAATCGGTTTTTCCTAAATTACTTGTTTATATGTTGCTAATAGGTGGGGGAAAAGAGATAAAATAAAAAGCGTGTGTCAGGTTGTTTTTTAAACTTTTTTTTAATGAATATAATGAAAATGCTTTAAAAAGTCCAGACAAGGAGCAGATTTTTATCTACTTCTCCTCACAGATGGAATCAGGTGTCGGTGCAGTTAAAAATAGATCTCAGGTCTGAGTGGGATTTGTATTAACATGCACATATATGTGTGTTTTTAACTGGGACTGTGTGCAAACACTTGACAGCTTAAACACACAACCACACATAAAACAAGGCAAAAAAAAATACATAGGGCGATTTACTGGAGCGGAGTGTTTTTAAACTTGTGACATTTGATTAGAAAAGCAATTATTAAATAGATTAAAGAATTAATAATTTCCAAAAATAACACACACACACATAAGGGAATAAATTTTGTTTGTGTTTTGAAGTGTAATATAAAAAAATTTCAGGGAACCTTTAAAAGCTGAGCAGGAGAAATATCACTGAAAGTAAATTTTGTATTTGTAACCTCAAGCTCAGATTTTGTTCTTTACAGGTGAAACTATAAAGTGTTTCAATATTAGCTGTGCACAAAATTACATTGATTACTTCTAAAAGCAGCAGAAATGGCTCTAATTTGAATATTTGATGAAGTTTTAATCAGGTAATCCAGATGATTAGTCCATCAGTGGCGTTTGTTTCTTTAGGTGTCATCAGACCTCTCACCTCAGTCAAACGAGGGCAGGGGGGCACCAACACACAACGCAGCGTTGCATGTTTTTAATCTCACAGATTTCCTGTTGGCAAACATGTTTGATGCCAGGTGGTGAAACGAAGAAGGCTGGGATTAACGACAGAAATGTCAAGACAGGACGGGAAAGTTTCAGCTGCTCCTTAAGGAAAAGCAGCAGAGAGGAGGGATTCTGGAGGAAGAGGTGGGCCATAAAACAAACAAACAAAAAGGCTGCTTTTTTAAATGCGTTGACTCAGTTTTATACCCACATTTATCCAGGGTCAGAGGTTAATAACGTCCTGTTAATAACATTTGACTGACATGTTTTACTGTAAACAAATTCATTTGGATCAGATTTCTGATGCAGAAAAACAAGAATACATTTTTAAATATCTATAAGAACAATATTGTTGATAAACGTAAAGCATTAAGAACGATACATTTATGTTTTTAATTAAACAGATTCATTAGTGCTAAGAGATTAAAACTCTTCATTAAAGCAAACATTAACTTTCATTTTAATGTATTTTTTTCTCCATTACTTGATAAACCGAGCTTATAAAATTACATTTATGTTCTGCTTTAACTATCCTGTGCTTTTAACAACATGGCTGAAACTGTGTGTTTTTACTGCTTTTAAAATTCACAGTAACTTATTTCTTTAAATGCTGTCGCGCCATTTCGAGTAATGGAAGAAAAGTGTCGAAATAAATAGTTTTGCATGCAAGAAACCAGTAACTGTCTAAACGTGCAAAGATTTGTTTGATACGTTTCCAGATTTGAGCGTTTCCCACATTTAAAATTACTTTAATTAAGCATTTTTCCCCCCCGAAGGCTGAAATCGTTTATCTTATTTCTGTAAAACATGCAAAGCAGGTCAAATCAACCCAGTCCCAACTACGGTTCAGAACAAAGTGATGGCCACTGACAGCTTGTCCCCGTCCAATCAGAGCAGAAAAGACATTCAAGAGATCATGATGATGCTCCCAACTGAGAAAAATGTTGCACTTTTCCTTTAATCAGTGTAAAACTGCCTCACTTTGAAAACTATTCCAAAATGCTTGTAGCACTTTATTATGGCAAAGACTACTGATGCTATGATTTATGATGAGTTATTTTTTTTCCAAAACACAAGCTAAAATTTTTAAAAAGTTGTTTTTTTTCCCCCTTTTTTTATTGGTTTACAAAGAACTCAAATCTTATTGTGAAATCTTTATGTTGCAGCTTAATAAAAACGAAAGGACACTTTAACTATGCATCATTTCTTTAAACTGCACAGCTGCAAACTCTGATTTCATGTCTGCAAGCCGCTGCATTAAAGTAGTTCTCTAGAACTCGATTGATATTTGCCTCTGGCCCCCGAAGTGGACCGGGACAGCTTTGGGACTCCCTGCAGGCTTCAGATCAGCTGTCCCAAACAGAAAGCTGCACACGAGGAACACCTCACCCTTTCAAATGTTTACTCATTAAATGTTGTCATAAATGCAAATAAATGAGGAGTTTTGAAATGAAAACAAAACCAGAGACGATGGCCTTCATGCCGGTCTGAACAATGAAGGAAGTGATGATCTGAAACTAATCAAAAAACAATAAAAATGAGTGAAGGGAAGCACTCACTGGTTGTGGTAGCAGAGAGGGTCTGGGATGCACAGTTCAGAAACATCCATCAGTCCAAGTTAAGCATTCCAGGTGTTGCAATAAGGAGAAAAAAAAGGCAGAAAAGACAAAAAAAGAAAGAAGAAAAAACTGTAGGAGGAGATCAGTTCTGGAGTCTCCACATTTCTTCACAAAAAATGACAAGTCAGCACTTCCTGTGTGGTGTCTCTTTTCCTCCCTCCTCTGATCAGCACACACAAAACAATAATAAATAATAACAGTAAATAAAAATAAAATAAAAAAAACTTCTTCTTGCTCGGAACAACGAACTCCAGTCGGCACAGATGCTCCGGATCAGGAGTGCTGAGGATCAGAGGAGTTTCACCAAGACAGAGAGGACAGAGTTAAGCAAAAAACAATAAAATAAAATAAAATAATCAAACAAATAAAAACAAAAAAGGAAGAAGGCAGAGACGACAGAAGAGGAGTTGGAACGAAGGAGACGGCGGGACAGATAGTGCGAGCAGAGCGATACGAGGCAGATGGATGAAGAGGAGCAGCAGCAGTGAGAGAGCAGTCAGTGAGGAGACTGAGGCTCCATTGAAAACAAGGAGGCTCTTTAAGAGGAGAAGGAGCGGCTGCTGCAGACGGGGGCTGACGGGATTGGTCGGTTTTAGGGAGGCTGTCCTGGCAGCGGCCAATGGGAAGAAAAGATTACTGAGAGACGGACAAGAAGCCTGTGTCCATTCACAAGGGACACTGGCAGACCCCCTGATGGACAGATGGGTAGATAAATTAATGGGTAGGTAGGTAGGTAGGTAGGTAGGTAGGTAGGTAGGTAGGTAGGTAGGTAGGTAGGTAGGTAGGTAGGTTGTTAGGTAGGTAAGTAGGTAGGTAAGTAGGTAGGTAGGTAGGTAGGTAGGTAGGTAGGTAGGTAGGTAGGTAGGTAGGTAGGTAGGTAGGTA